CCAGCCCCTCCTCACTGACCGCCTCCCACAGCCCAGAGTGCTGGCCTCTGTCCAGTGGACGGCCACCCTCGTACCCAGGCAGGGGCCCTGGGGCAGCCACCTGCAGGCAGCCCTCTCCCAAGCTCCCTGCTGCGGCCATCCCTAAGCACCTGCTGCCACGGCGTCTCCGAGGCGAGAGAAGGAGGGGGCTCCTGGGGGGACTCGCCCGTCTTGGGCTCAGCTTAGGTTAGACCCGGTGGCTATCCCCACCTCCTCGGTTCCTGACTCGTCCAGCCACTGGCCTCCTTGCTCAGGAGCCGTGCTCTCCGGAAGGTTCAACTTGAGGAGCCAGCCAGGGGCCCGGGAGCTGGGGTGTGTGGGAGACAGGGGGATGGGATGAGGCCATGTGGGGACCAGAGGGGGGGGGGAGGGGGACAGGGCCCAGGAAACAACAGGGTCAGGAAATATCAAGGAAACCTGGTCTCTACATTGTTCCCACGGATCCCACGGCAGCCAGGAGCCGCAGGCACAATTCCATCAGCTCTGTCTCCCTTTGGCTCCTGCCGCCGCACTGACTCGCGGCCAGCCCCTCCGGGTCAGGGTGAAGGGTTCTCTCTCTCACTGGGCTCTCCCAGCCTCAGTCCCATGTGACAGCTCCAGGCAGTTCCCAAACCCTGCGCTGGCCTTGGGGACCGAGTCCCACCCTCTGTTTGGGGGGCTGGGTCCCCTGCACCTGTTCCCTGGAGTCGGGGTCCAGAGCCTCTGGAAGACGTGGCCCCCCTTCTGGGCTGGCAAGACACCCGCCCAGCGGCCCTCGCCCTCGGGCCGCCCCCTGCCCAGGGCATCCCCTCCCCAGCGCCTCAGTGGGCACAGACGCCCAGCCCAGACAATCCCAGGCCAGGGAGAGCGAGAGGCTGAGGCCAGGCCAGTACCCCGACTTCCCGCATGTCAAGTACAAATCCTGCCAGACGTTCAGTTTCCAGAAACTGCAAATCACGTCCTCACTCGGCTCTGCTTGAGCGCACACTGTGTGTGAACACCTTCCGCGTTTCAGGCCTGGCGAGCTCCTGGCCCTCCCTGGCCGCCATGCCCGGCCCGCGACATGTCCCCTCTTTGATCACCACCCAGAGGCTGCGGCGGCTCGGCTCTCCGGGCACGGTCTCCACAACCCCCTTCCGCAGCCCCTGCGCCCCCTGCACTCCTCCGGCACCTTGTCTACCCTCCCGCCCCCCAACACTTACTACCCGACAGGGCTTTGTGGGTTTGAGGGTCGGGTCCCCACTCTCCGGCCCCTGGGCAGTGGCCCCTGCGTGAGGACACACGATTTCACCTGCCTCTGCCTGTGGCACTTCCATCGACCCTCGGCCCCAGGGGGAAAAGGGGGTCCCCAGACACTGCGTCCTGGGGTTGGCATGACAAGGCAGAGCGGTGATGTGAGCAGATGCCTGTCTCCCGAGAGGGTGCCCACACCGGCCCCTCGCACCTGGTGCTCGCCCTCCGTGGCTCCTGCAGGCCCACAGGCTGGAAAGAGGCGGCTCCACTAGCTCCAGGGTCCTGACCGGGCTGAGGGGGGATGTGCCCTGAGCCCAACACCTCGGGCTTGGAAGAGCGTTCAGGTGAAGTGAAGGCACTCCAATACTCAGAAAGTGATAACAGTCCAGAATGGACTGTCCTGAGAGACTAAGAACAGAAATCGCTTAAAAAATAAGGTTTAAATGGGGGTGGGTGGGCTATTAAGGGGTTATTAGGCAGCCACCCCCAGATCTCTCGCCTCAATCCCAGAGCTGGAGGGAGAAGGAGGGGGCTCCTCCATTCTGGGGGTGCCTTTCTCCGGTGCTGGTGGGCGCTGGGCCTCCTGGCCACCAGCAGGGTCACACTAGGCTCCACCTGGGAGGAGTGGGCGAGGGAGAAGGGCGCGCACCCTCCCCTCCGCAGAAGGGAGAGAGGAGAATCCGGCAGGGCACGTCCTGAGCTGGGAACATGCAAACGAGGCAGGGGAAGGAGCCAGGCATTAAATGTCAGCAAGAGCCCAGGGCAACTCGCTTGTGCAAAGTTTGCTTTGGGAAGAGTTGTTCCACCTGACAGGCCACTTGCTCGGCTGGGGGCGCAGGGTGGGGCGTGGAATGGGATGGGGTGGGGGAGGGCCCCAGACCAGGTTTGAGCCCCAACTTCCTAGCTCTGGGACTAGGGAAGTGACTTGGCTTCCTCTGAGCCTCAGTTGTCCCGTCTGTGAAATGGACCGTCAGGAGCATGTCTTAAAGGGGTGGTGAAGATTGAGGGAGCGGGTGGATGGAAATTCCTTGTGAATTATGATGGGCTGAGCATACATGAAGGTGGCACCTGGGAGCAGGTGAGGGAATGAGACTGGAGAAGAGGGAAGAGAAAGGTGCCCTGGCCAGTGGCTCAGTTGGTTGGAGCGTTGTCCCATATACCAAAAGGTTGCAGGTTTGATTCCCAGTCAGGGCACCTGCCTAGGTTTCGGGTTTGATCTCCGGTTGGGTTGTGTATGGGAGGCAACCGATGGAGTTTCTCTCTCATATCAATGGTTCTCTCTCTCCTATCCTCTCTCTAAAATCAACTTTAGAAAAAGAGAGAGAGGGAAGGGAAAGGTAATGGGGTACGGAATGAGGAGAACAAAGGAAGAAGCAGGTGGTGACGGTGGAGGGGCAGGGCTGAGGGTGGAGTCTGGGGGAGAGTTGAGGATGGTGGTGAGGGAGGCCTGAGCCCATCCCCGAGGTCGTCTTGCTCTCCAGCCCGGTCTAGGGCAGCTGTGAGCTTCAACCACCCCTCCCTGACCTCTAGGAGGGGCCAGAGCCTGGGCCACAAGGCTGGGAGGCACACACGTTTGCAAAGTTGGCAGATCCGGCCAGCCAGCCTGCTCCACCAACTCCTACACAGCCTTCAAAACCCGGCTCCAGGTGGTCTCCTCCGTGAAGCCCCCCTGAACAGATGAAGCCACCTGCCTAACCTCCTGACAGAGGCGAGTGCAGGAGGAAAAGTGACTTCCCCCATCACACACCGTGGGCCTCCCGTTCCTCCTCGCCCTCCCGGAGGGTCTCTGCCCCCAGGTCAGCCTGAACTGACCTCCCAGGTCGCACTCACGCTGCACCACGCCCTTTAGCACCAACTTGTGCTCTCATTGCTTCAGTTATTAACTTTATCTGCAACGACCTCGGTGGGAAACAGTGGGCTCTCCCAGGCTCAACTCCCTGCTGCCTGGTCGCCATCTCTGAGCCTTGATTGAGCACCTACTGGGTGCTCCACTCCCTCAGGCCTGGTTGACAGAGCAGCTCATCTGCTCAGGGTCCATGGGACCGGCCGCAGTGTGTTAGGATTGCTGACACAGTGAGCAGGTCTGGTGGGGACCGAGTTTTCAGCTCTGGCCCCGCCTCTGCCTGGAGCAGAGGGGTCACTTGTCCATTCACTGTTGGGCTCTCAGAGGGGAGGGTGGTCCCCTATCCTGTGAGTGTTCACCTCCTCCACACCCCAACCTCTCGGCGAGCCCTGAGGATGTATCCTCTCCCCAAAGCTCTGTGAATTTGGGGTGGTGAGACTCCAAGTTTGGCGTCACTGGCTCTCGCTCCTCCTCCAGGGGGCCAGGGGGCAGGCAGGACGGTCCTCGCTGGCCTTGGCCGTGGTCTGGGTCTCCCTATCTGTGGGTCACCTCCTGCCCATCCCTGCCTGCACCTCAGAGCTGGGCGGCCCAGCGCCTGTTTGCTTTGTTACTCAGCTGAGCAGCTGGTGCTGGGGAGATGCTGCTTTATTGGGGGTGCTGTGAAGCTGTTTATTGGGAAGGTGGGGGCAGGAAATGAGGCCAAGTCCTAGCCCTGGCCAAGGAGGAAAAGAAAGGCCATGACCTCCATAGAGGGACAGACACTTGAGGCTTATGGCCTGGGTGTGCCCAGCTGGCAGGATGCGGTGAGAAATCCAGGGCTAGCTTGGTGGGACTGCCCACTCCCTAACATGCACAGATGGGCACACATTCATGCACACACACCTGCACACACAAGCACACACACATGCACATTCACACACACAATATACATGCACACACAAGCACACACAAGCGCAATATACATGTGCACGCACACATGCACACACATGTTTGTAAGGCACACACATGCACACACTCAATATGATACACGTGAACAGGCACATGCTCATGTGTACACACATGTACGCACATATACACATGCGTATGCACACACATGCACGTATACACACTCACATATATACGCACCCATGCACACACCTTTTCTGACCTCAGGGGAGCCCTCAGACCTCCAGACCCTTCAGCTTTCCACCCGTCACCTCGGCCACCTACTTCCCCCTCTTCCCACAGAAGGAATCTGCAGATCTTAAAAATGAGCCTCTTCATGGACCCGTTTCTCTCCGAGTGTGCCCAGCCCGGACCAGGGGCCTCTGCTCCTCTGGGTGCCCAGGCAGCCAGCTGGTTTGCTCTGCAGCTCCCCAACCACCTGGTTCCCATGCCCACCACTGCCCCGATGGGCCCCTGGCTCTGGGCTTGTCCCCACTGCTCCAACCGGGACCCTGCCCCTGAGCCTCCAGACTCCAGCAAGCCCCCACCCACGTGTGCCGGCCCCAGGGAGAGCCTCTGTGGCCAGCAGCCCTGGCAGCAGCAGGAAGGCCGCTGTGTTCCACCGGCCAAACACAACGGCCAGGTCTCGGGGCCGAGTCTCTGCATCTACAGAGCAGCCACCTGCAGGCCAGCAGGTGGACTCAATGCTGAGCCCGGAGGGGGCCATCACAGACACGGCCCCCAGGCCTCGCGGGGCCAAGGGACTCACCGAGGCGCTGGGGTCGGCCCAGGGAGGCAGACTGGGCAGCATGCAGAGAGGCAGGGGCTTCTGAGGGTGAAGGACCAGGTCGCAGGGTCACTGGTGCCTGGGAAGTCCCTTCTGAGCTTGCAAAGTGCACCTCCAAGTCCTCTCAGTCACCCGTCCCCGCCGCTGGCAGGAGGAAGCCCGTGCAGGGCACTCGGTACCTCCCCCTGCACTTACCCGTTAGCTGCCTGGCGCCCAAGTCGCCTGCTGCAGTGGCAACCTCCGGGGCCAGGAGGAGGCAGGGGCAGCTTGGGCCACTGCTGAGTCTCAGCCAGGCATCTGGGGAGCCAGTGGGACCAGGGGCCAGCAGGCTGGGGACAGAGGTGAGGGCCGCTGGCGGCCTGGCCACCCTCAAAGGGTAGCCCTCTGAGGTCTCAGGGCTGTGTGCCCTGTACAGAGCCCCAGCTCCCAGCCCAAGGCCACCTGCTGGCACCGTGGCAGGACCCAGCCGGAGGGCTTACTGGGGGCCTCCGCGGGCTCTGGGCACTGGCCTGGGTCCCCGGGGCAGTGTGGACGCAGCTGGAGTGCAGGAATGTGCTGGGAGGAAGTCAGGCTGCCGCGGGATGAAGAGTTGGCCGGGCCTGATTTCCCATTATAAGTAATCCTTCCTTATTTACCTGAACAAATACACTCCCTGCTTACCTCAGACCACAGGCGGGCTCCCGGTTAACCCTTGCAGGCCTTCCTCTCCTCCCCGGGGGAATCTATACCCTGGCAGCCAGGGAACTCACTCACTCATTCATTCACACACTCACTTACATTTGTTCATTAGTTGATGCATAGCTCCTGAACTCATACTGTGTGCGAGGCACAGGGTATATATCAAGAGGGAGCACTAAAAGGGACCAGCCGCCGAAACCGGTTTGGCTCAGTGGATAGAGCGTCGGCCTGCGGACTGAAAGGTCCCAGGTTCGATTCCGGTCAAGGGCATGTACCTGGGTTGCGGGCACATCCCCAGTAGGAGATGTGCGGGAGGCAGCTGATCGATTTTTCACTCTCACCGATGTTTCTAACTCTCTATCTCTCTCCCTTCCTCTCTGTAAAAAAATCAATAAAATATATTAAAAAATAAATAAATAAAATAAATAAAATAAAAGGGACCAGCCGAGGGTGAGGGACAGACAAGCAAGCAGCAGTGGAAATTCAGAGCCTCAGTGGAAGGCTGTGGGAGCCCTGAGGCAAGGGAAGTCAGGGAGGGCTTCCTGGAGGAAGTGCCTGGCTCCCCAGGCCCGGGATGGAGGGAGTTTCAGAGAACCCTGAGGAAAGGGACCTGAGGCTCATGGGCCACCCGCCCTGCAGGGGAACGGTGCTCCCTGTGCCCCTGGGCAGAGGCCCGGCACACAGTAGTACCAGAAAGGGCTGGTAGCTAGCTTTCCCAAGCCCGGTGCGGAGCTCGGCCAGCAGCAGCTTGCTCTCCCACAGCACCTGAAGGGTGGAGGCAAGGAGGGAGGCTGCGTGCACACCTACGTCCAGGCACCCACCGCCCAGGCCCCTCCACGAGTCCAAGGAGGGCCACCCAGTTGAGCTCCCAGCTTCCTCCTCTTCCTGCCAGGTGGGCTGCGGATGTCTCCGGAGGGCAGGGCGTGGCTCCTCTTTCTCTGGAACACTTTGGAAGGCCACGGAGCACCGGCTACCCCCATTCTGTCAGATGAGGGCATTTTGTTGCTATTTCCTAATTTCAGAAGGAATTGTGTGACTGCACACACGTGAGCACTCCAGGGCTTCAGGAAGATTCCAAGGCCTTCAGAACCAGCCCTCACCCTAACTGATGCCATAATTCTCCGGCCTGTGGCTTCACTTTTCACCCTGGAGAGGCTATGCCTGGCTGCTACTGTCACCAGCACCTTGGTGAGGATGAGGCAGCAGAGTCGTTCCGGAGAAGGTTGGGTAGGATGGGATGGAGGAGGTGATGCAAATTCTAAAATGGCTACAGTGCCCACCCCAGCTCCCAGGGTCAGTAGGAAGAAAGACCCCACTTTCCCAGGCAGGACCTCCTCCAGGGCTCCCTGAGGGGCAGGCGGCCCTCCTCTGCACTCCCACAGGAGCGTGGGCTTGCACTGCACTCTGATGCGGTGCTCAATAGACACTGGCTATGTGCCAGGCACCGTTCAGTGCTCAGGAGATGCTATGACATTAATCATATATAAATACTCTAACCTGGGTAAGGACAAGGACTTCCCAATAAATGTTTATTGAATGGATCATGTGTCAGAGATAGTTTCCCTAATGTACGTTCTTATCTTTCCTCTGTAACAAGCCCCTCATTTTCAGCTGGGAATTAAGACTATCCCAGACTCCCTTGCAGCTAGCTGTGACTGTAATCAAGTAAAAGTGTCATGTGTCGATTTCTAAGAATCTTTCTTTTTTAGGTTTTTGGTTATTTTTTTTAATCCTCATCTGAGGATATTTTTCCATTGATTTTTAGAGAGAGTGGAAGAGAGAGGGAAAGTCAGAAACATTGATGTGAGAGAGACACATCAATTTGTTGCCTCCTGCATGAGCCCTGACCAGGACCCGGGCTGGGGAGGAGCCTGCAACTGAGGTACATGCCCTTGCCTGGAATTGAACCCGGGACCCTGTGGTCTGCAGGCTGACGCTCTAATCCACTGAGCTAAATTGGCTAGGGCTCTGGGAATCTTTCTTAAAAGTAAACTGGCATGTACCATTTGAGCCTTTTTCGTATCCTTCCTTCATCTTGCTGCCTGGAATGGCCAAGTATCGACGCCTGCGGAACACTCCCCGGGGACGCTCAGAGCTGTTGTGAGGAGTGAGATACTGGGGGTGAAAGGGCTCCGTGAACCCAGACGCCCTGTGCCAGCAGGGCCTTGCTCACCCCAACCACACGCCATGTGTTTGACATGCATCATCCTAGTCCCCATAGCAACCCCTCCAGGCAGATATTATTATGCCCATTTTTCAGGTGAAGACATGGAGGCCTGAATGTTTAAAATGTCTCGCCCCAAGCGAGAGGAGAGCCGTGTCGTGTCCCCTTTGACCTGTCATCCCTGCTCCATCCCCGTCTGGACTCCCCAAAGCACAGGGGGTTCTCCCTGCGCTCCCCACCCCGGGTGGCTGTTTGGCTGAGTGAAGAGGAAGAACGCCAGGAAGAGCCAGGGCGGGGCTGGAGCCAGAGACCAGGAGGATTAGGTCCCCTCGTCCCCCTTGGCCCGGCGGAGTGTCTAGTTTTCCAGTCGGATAATAAAACAGACCAATGCTGCCCTGACTGGTTTGGCTCAGTGGATAGAGCGTCGGCCTGTGGACACAAGGGTCCCGGGTTTGATTCCGGTCAAGGGCATGTACCTTGGTTGCGGGCACATCCCCATAGGGGGTGTGCAGGAGGCAGCTGATCGATGTTTCTCTCTCATCAATGTTTCTAACTCTCTATCCCTCTCCCTTCCTCTCTGTAAAAAAATCAATAAAATATATTTTAAAAAACAAAACAAAAAAAACAGACCAATGCTGAAAGAAAAAATTACTTGCCCAAGGTCAATAGCTGGGAAGCAGATTCAAACTGAAATCTCCAGTTCCCTCGATCAGCCATGCCTGCTGGGACCCCGTCACTATATCCTGCCCCCTCGGGTCAGGTCCCAGGTCACCGGGTCCACCAGAGCCCTGCCTCCTGCCCGCAGCTCCCAAAGGCTGGTGGTCCACCCTCCTCCGGCCAGTGCCCACAGGGTGGAATGTGCCCCTGCTGCTCTCCCCCAAGCCAGACCCCACCCAGCTTTGTGGGCGATGCCTGCCCATGGCCGCCCTCCCCAGCTCTGGGGTCCGGCACATTGGCCCTGGTGACTCCATCCTGGAACTTTCCCCCGACTCACTGAGATAACATGGTCTCTCTTGTGGGGGTTCTGAGCCTTTCGGGTGAGCTGGGGGCTGCCACCCCAGAGAGTCTGCTTCGACGGCCCGGGGAGGGCCTCCTGGCACGCGGCGGGAACACCTGGGCGAGCCGGTCACTCCCTTCTTCTGTTGTTGAAACGGATCTGAATTGAGTTGCTTCTACTTGGGAGTGAGACTCGGCCCCACCGGGCCCTCTGCAGAGCCCTCTCCCACAGCCCTCGCCTCAGTCGCCTCCCACGGCCCAGCCCTCGCAGACCTCCGTGTCCTGTTCTGTGAGCTCCACTTCCCAGCCTTTCTCTTCTTCCCAAGATTCCAACTTAAGGGCAGAGACCCTGGAGCAGCGGCAGCATCAGACCCACGCAGCTGACCTGAGCCTCCCTCCGGACCTGGTCCCCTGGCCGCCGGCCCCTGAGGGCGGAGAGCGCTGCGTGGGAGGCAGGGCGCAGGGCCCAGGCTCGGGGGCTGCCGCTCACTAGCGGTGTGATGACCAGTCTCAGGCCGCTCTTGAAATGGAAACTCGTGCCCTGCTGACCTCGTGCACAGGGGGTCGTGACGAGTGAATGACATTCGACAAGGGGAGTGGACGCACTGGAAAGCCAGTCTGTCTTCTCATGAGTCCCAGCCTCTTTTCTGCCCCCAGCTCCCGCCCTCTGAGGACCCACAGCCGGGAGCGCTGCAGGGACCAGGCTGGGGCCCACACCAGGCACAGAGGGATGGGCTGCCCGGTCCCAGGCTCCAGCTGTGGGCGGTGGGAGCCTCGGGGAAGCGGGGAGGGCTCCCCTGCTGAGGGGCAGGCTGGTCACCCAGATGGGACCGTGTGGCAGGGTGGGCAGGGAGCTTGGTTTGTGGGACCCAGAGACCATTCAGCCCTCCGGGTCCAGCGGGAGACCCTGAGACCAGAGAGGCTAGGGCAGACCCGCAGGCACCCAGCCCAGCCTGTGCTCGTGCGGCAGGAGCTGTCTGGGCTAACCCTACAAGCCCAGCACCGAGGGGTTGGCGGGCCTTCTCAGCTCAGGCGAGGAACAAGGCTCCTGAGCTCCCCAAAGTCAAGGCTAGAAGGCGGCAGGGCAGGATTCGGGCGGGTCCGTTGGAGCCCTCTGTTCAGGACACCCGGCTGCAGCTGGAGGGTGGACACGGGGTGGGGCTGTGTCCTCAGGGGCCACCCAACGAGGCATTTCCATACACTGGAGCGTGCCCCTGGGCACCTGTGGCCATGCCACATGGCTCTGCTAGGCCAGCATGCATGGATTGAGCACCTGCCTGTGCCAGGCCTGCACCAGCATCGGGGGCGGGGGCCGGGCACACTCTGTCCTGAGCAGTCACAGCCTGGAGGCCTCAGAGGGCACAGACTCCCAGGTCCCTCCCAAGGCCACTGTGGGCTACTGGCTTCATGAACACCTATTAGATGCAAAATGGGGAAACCGACAGGTAGGAGATGCCAAAGGCGTCCCAGCTTGTGACCTGGTTCCCAGGCCCTGGGCATGCTCCCAGGTACCCCACTCCACGAGAGGGTGGCTGAGCAGATGGGCCCGTCTGTCCTGTGTCCGCGGACCGACTGTATCCCCCATCCCTTGCCAGGAGCCTCACCCATCAACCCTCATTGCTGATTCAACCTGGGACGCCACCTGAGGAGGCCTCACTCAGGGCCCCAACGCAGCCCTCAGGGTACGCACACAGCACCCTCCCTACCCCACCCAGGCCTGCGATGGTGGAGCAGGGT